TAATTTATTTAATTCATAATGATTACACAATATTATTTCCATAAGGATCAGATAATGTTTGGCTGGGTAGTACATTCACAGTGAACCATGAAGAAAGAATTAGTTAAATAGTTTCATAAATAGCTTTCTTTTGGTACAACTTTTTTGTTTCCTACTTCTCATTGTGTACACAATTTATAGGCAATAAATTATTTCTCATAACAGTACTTGGGAATCCATATAACGTGAGATTTATGTCTAGAAAATACTAAAAATCTACTTTAGTTCAGATATTTGATGGCATCAAGCTCTTACAGCCCAGCTTATCTAGGTCTGAAATAAGCATACTTGCCAGAAAGTCCTGACCGGTCAACTTTTGTGCCAAGGCGCCCTCATCCATAAACATTTCTCAGATAGACACACTGCCAGTTTCCTCTGTGGTTTCTCTTTGCCTACAATCCTTACCATGAGTAACCTTTTTTTCTGTATACTTACTAATGCCCTTAGGCAGTTTACTATAAGTCCATGTTGTCCTAGGGTCCATTCTGTTTTTAGGAGTAGTTAATATGGGGTCACCTTTCCTGTCCACCCCCACCCTCCCACCTGGCATGCTCATGGTTGGGCTCTAAGAAGAAGCCCTGAAATGCACAAGTCAACCTTTCTGAAGAGAGGGTGCATAGTTTTTATCATATTCACAAAAGACTTCATGACCCCCCAAAATTATTGTGAACCACTAATGCATATTTTTGTCGTTTCATTATGCATACATAGTTTAAATCTCTTATAAACAATCTTAGCTTATTATCTACTGATGTTTTGATATTGTGATTGCCAATTTCTATGTTTTCTTCCTATAATTATAAATATTAAAATTTGGTCATTTTTTCTTGATGTTCTTTGCCTTTTACTTTTTTTCTTTTTACCTATCATCTAACTATCTATATATTTTTTAATTTAACATGCATACGTTTCTATATTAGAAGGCAAGGTAATTTATTGCTCTTTTGTTGTTTTATCCCTCGAATCCTAAACTGTTATCCACAATACAAAATACTATACCTTTTGAACATTTGTGAACTGCTTATTCTCTGCTGAGACCATTACAAAATTGATCTTTTTGCGGGGAGGGGTATGATCATGGGTTCTTTCATTTGTACAAAATGTACAACTTATTCCTCTCTATAAGTCAGTTAATATATTGAACATTTAATTAAATGTTTAAAGAGGAAAGGTGTTACCCAAAACAACAATCTTAATGTTTTCAAAAAAGTATTAAAAGATATGTTGTGGTTAAAAAAAAGATCTTTTCTTCAGCTTTTCTTCATTTTTTTCTGTAGTCTGATACATACATCTTAATGATTTAATGCTGTATAGAATTTACTTTAGTATATTTAATGCAATGTTTTAACAGCTTGATCATTATATTTTTTCAAGAAATGAGGCCTTTAATGCACTGTCAATGAAGAAATAGGTAGTTATTACTATTACGAATGGTCTTTTAAAAGACCCGAGTTTATTGATAATCTGCCACATGGAAAAGTTCATTGAGTTGGAATATGTGCCACTTTGAACAGGAGCCTAGAAGAGCATGAACTGCCATGGAGTTCAGTGTCGATCTACAGTGTTGCACATATTAGTGCCAGAGGTGCCTGTGCCTGGCCTGCCTGTGATTTCATGACTCTCAGAACATACCCCGTGTTATTGGAGGCTGTACATTTTGTGGCGGTTCTGAAATAGCTTTCATTGCAGACTATATAATTCACTACTCAAACATGAAAAAACATTATTTCAAAATGCATCCTAAGTATTTTAAATATACTGCCTACATTCTCTGCACAATAAATGTGTTGTAATAAAGCTCCCCATTGATTTGAGTCTCAGAAGAAGTTGTAATAACTATATTCAGAGTATTTTTGTATTTTTACAAAAATACAGAAGACTTCATGAACCCCCAAAATTATTGTGAACCACTAATGCATATTTTTGTCGTTTCATTGTGCATACATAGTTTAAATCTCTTATAAACAATCTTAGCTTAAGAAAGTTAAAAAAAGAAATTGGAATTATCAAATACTTGGTAAGTAAAGAATATGGCCATGTTGCAAATTGTCTTACTGGTTTTACGTATCGTCAGATGAGAAGAGAGATAGTAATTTATCATTAACAGTAGTTACTGTTATTGTTCAACTAGCTGAGATTCGATTTTAAAAAGTTTTCTAAACTTTTACCTTTTATGTTGTTTTAGGCATAACACTATGTTAATAACTATTCTTTTTGTTTAAGCAAAGTAAAAACACTGAAAAATAGAAAATGCCTATAAATATATTATTTGAATGAGGAAAGTAGTGACTCCATATTTGTACCTTTTCATAATTTAAGAAAATTTTAAAAATTATGTGATACACAACTCATATAATTTAATACACATAATGAACCAAAAACAATGATTAATTCTTAAAACATATTAGTTTTGTGCTCTAGCTAGAGTTTTAGCATCTTAAAAAGTAAAATATCCACAGACTAAATGACTTATTTTAAAAAATATTTTTAATTAACTAATTTTCAAAACAATTATTGGGCATATGAAAATTTTAAGTAGAAAGGATAATTATTAAAACTGTTAATATTGTAGTTTTTCTTTAATCATTATGTCTTCTGTAGGTAAAATGGATACCATTTATGAAATAACACATAAAATCTTCTTTTCTATATACTTGATTTCAGAAAAACTAGTGAAAATAAATTCAGCATTGTTGCTTGTAGGTGAATCTTAATTTAAAAGGCAATTCGTGCATATCTGGGCTGCTAGAGAAAGCCCTCATCCTTCTGTCAGCACTTGAATGGCAACAACACTATTTTATTTCTCTTAGGAAAAGGAGTGTGTGTGGACAGAACCAAACCATAGTAGTTTCAGACTATGATGACAGTTTGAAGTTGTTTGGAAGATAAGGTTCCTTTAAAATTATTGAAATAATAATGTATGTAGGCTTTCAGTAAATACTTGCTGAAATTAAATTGAGACTACTTCCAAATCCTATGTAGAAGTTTACAGCATCATGCATTACCTTGATTTATAGGTTCATTTGGAAAACATTGTCAATTTATAAAATGTAGTATGAACTTCTTAAAAGTCTGTCTTGGTTCCTTTTCCTTTTTCTCTCTATTTCTTCTTAGCCTTTTTCTATGGATTGTCTTTTTCTAATGGCTTCTTAAATGTTGGTATTTCCCAAGATTCTGTTCTAGGGTCTCTTTTCATGCTACATGTTCTAGGTCAGCAGTCCCCAACTTTCTGGCACCAGGGACCAGTGCTCCTAGGAGAATTTAATGCCTGATGATCCACGGTGATAGGGGAATTTAATGCCTGATGATCCAAGGTGGAGCTGAGGTGGTGATGCTTGAGCTAGAAAGCGGCTGCAAATAGAGGCGAAGATTTGGTCACTCGCCTGCCGCTCAGCTCCTGCTGTGCGGCCCGGTTCCTAACAGGACACAGACCGGTACTGGTCCAAGGCCCGGGAGTTGGGGACCCCTGATCTAGATTATCTAGATTATCAATTTCACCCGTTCCCTTGTTTTTTGCCAGATGTCTTTCTTCTACTTGAACCTTTATTCTCAGCTCTCAACCTAATATGCCCAGTTATCTACATTAATACCTCCTGAATGTGCTAGGCAATCCAACAGTGTGTTGGATATTAAGTTCATCTCTTTCTCCCCATATTTCCAACCAGCTCTCCCAAGGTGGGCGGGGAAGACCCACACATATGCATATACATAGAGAACACAGGTACTTCTGCTTTTGTTTGGAAAGCCTGCCACTAATGAGCAGCAGGCCTGGGACTTTAATCCAAGTCTTTGAGTGTGACTCTTCAGCTCAGCATGGTGACCATAATTTCTGAACCAAAATTTAAGATTCATGGTCCAACAGTATTTGAAGCCTAAAGTTGTTATTGTATTATTGCACCTAGTGCTTTTTCATATCACTTTATTAAATCATGGATATCATGGTAGGCAAGCACTAATAACAACGCATATAATATAAAGTTGCACTTGTGATAAATACAAGATATGTAGTAGGAGGTATTGTTTACACATACATTATGTGTGTGATTTGATCTAGTTGGGGAGATCAGATACTGCTTCCCTTGCAAGTGATGATTAAACTCATTGTGAAGGGTGAGGAATTCAACAGGCAGGGATGGGAGAGTGTTCAAGGTAGGTTTAACAGCTAACACAAAGATCTGGTCATAGTAGGTGCATACTTTGTGTGAGCACCTGTTTCTGTGCAAAGCAATTTGCAATCTTGTTAGAGATTTTCCACTCATTTCTTCCTTCCTTCTTTCTTGCTTTCTTATTCTGTAAAAATACTTGAAACTGAAGTTCATATTAGAGAGTAGTAGAAAGTAAAATGTAACTTCTTTTTAAACTACATGGCAGACAGATGTGAATTAGAGAAATCATGAGATTTAAGGAACAAACATAGTGAGGACTTACCTATAATGCAACGCCAACAAGAAAAAGGTTTTGTGATGGTTCATTTCTACTCTTGTTACCTAAAATTACACCAACATTTATTCACTGCCCTTCTACATTTTGGTAAACCAGGGAATAACTAATTCCTAAGTAATAAATTTGAAAATGTTTGATTAAATTTTAAGTGACTTATTTTCTAACTGCATTTTTTACTTGAAGTTTAGTATTTCGTATACTCTTTCTTTGTGTTTGAGAATTGGTTCAGGCTATAGACATTCTATTAGAAAGTAGAGTGACTTCTGAATTACACCGAAGAACTCTCTGGTCTGTGGTATTCTAAATTTGATGACCATTAATTCCTTGGTTCTATTTTATATGCATGTGTATTATTCTTCAAAGGTAGTTCTGAAGTTTTAGTCCTCAGAACATTTTTTCAACTTCTCTTACCCACTTCTTGAAAAGGAAAATTATATTTCAGAAATAGGAATTGTTTTCAGTGCTTTATAACTTATAGTGTCTTTAAAAACTGAGTTCATACCTGTTTTTCTTTACAGAAAGGGCTATTGCAAGACATGAAGTCCGAGAAATTGAGCAGCGACATACGATGGATGGCCCTCGACAAGATGTAGCTTTAGATGAGGAAGAGGACATGGTGATCATTTATAACAGAGTCCCCAAAACTGCAAGCACCTCTTTTACCAATATTGCCTATGACCTGTGTGCAAAGAATAAATACCATGTTCTTCACATCAACACTACCAAAAATAATCCAGTGATGTCACTACAAGATCAGGTAAATACCACTTAAGGAATGCATAAATGTTTTCTGGCATTTCCTCACTCAAATTTTGTATCTCAAGGGGACAAAGCATTTTAAGGGATATGTGTGCTGATCCTAATGAATTATAAGTCTCCTGGGGGAAGGGATCAACCAAACTTTTTAATAATTTTACACTCTTCACAGTATTTGATGCATTTCCTTGCATATGAAATATTTGTGAAATAAATAAATAGCTCGAATTTTTGAAGAGAAAATTGATATTCTTCAGTGTGGCATCCTTTTAAAAATATGAAATATTAGCAAGATACTGTGCAATAAAAATCATTATATTGTCTCAACTTATTATAGAGAAATTTTCATTTGATGGATACCTGTATTCTGTATGGCTCAATTTTGTGACACAATCCTCCTGAATTTCATCTTATTTTTACTAGTAGTTCATATAAATATTAGCTATAATCTCCTGGAAAACGGATTGTGACTAATATTTTAACATAATCTTATCTTTTAAGTTGTCAAGAAAATTTAGATAAACAGATGGATAGATAATTTTATGGAATAGTTTTAAGAAAGATGGAGGAAATCATCTCATGAAATGAAATTTAATCATCTCTTTAGCAGTAGTAGCACACATTTCTCTACATCTGGAATTCTAACTATAATTATAAATAAATAAAGTCCTTTCTACAGATATTGAAGGGTATTAGATCCCATGGGAAGAAAAGTTAATATTTGAAAATACTATCTAGGCTTAAATACCATATTGGGGTAGCCTTATTAGAAATGTATTTGTGATAGTCATATAGTTAGAATGTATTATTTGAAAACAGCTGAACTTGTTTTATTGTTGCAGAATTGACTATTATCCCATTATTTAGCATACCTATAACCCTTACTCTGAAGAAAGAAAATAGCATTGATTCGCTTTCTTGCTAGAAAGCTGTCTGTAAAGGCCAATAGTATATGGCATATCATCTGCCCATATAATACATGGCTCTTTGCAGTATCCTCAGTTACTCTTTTTTGTAGAACATCTGTCAGCCAAACCAAATAACACATCTATACTCGAGAAGAAACATGAGCTTGTTTAGCTCAGTGGGTCATAAAAACTATTCATTATGTAATATTGTGTATCTCAAAGGCAAGTATCCTAAATAATCAGTTATTATACAGATTTTGAATCTGTTTGCATGAGGCTTTTCTGAATATATCTTGGTTTAAAAGGGACATTTCTTAATGCTGATATAATTTTAGATTTCTTCAATAATATTTTTTAGAACAATAAAGTTAGCTTGCTTTTTCAATTTTTAGGATTTTTTGTGTCCAGCATTACAAAGTTGTCTGACAGCTACAAGATGTCTGACAATGACATTGACCATTTTTTTCGGGAAATATTAATCTACAGAAACTCACCACACATAACATTTATTGGTATCACGTAGTGATACCTTTTCCCGGTTGCATTTGGATGAGACAAAGCTTCTGTTTTTCTTTCAATCGCTTGTTAATTTTATCTATATCTATATCTACCTATCTATCTATATCTATATTGATCTCAACATAGATGTTGAGATATAGATAGATAGAGATATATATCAATATATATCTATATATAAACCAGCAGGAGAAGCATAAATGCTATCTTAAAAGCAGTTGGATTACATAATAAACAATACTTAAAACATGTTTGTGTGGGGCAGAATAGAGGAATAGTCTTACTCATTAGCTGACATACTTCAAAATGTCAGCTGGTAGTTCAGAATCTGATCTTAATTAGGAGTGGCTTGTATGCCAGGTGTTCTCTAATATACCATATCTAATTTGTTTACTGGTCTCTTGTTCTATATTGAAGCAGTTGTTCAAACAATTCATACTTACTGCTTCTCTTTCCTTTGCATGACATATTAGATAACATTTTTATTTCACTTTCAATCTAATAAACTTCATTTAAATGTAAACTTCTAAATATATCAGATGCCTTGAAAATATTTTTTCAAATATTCCCTGAACCCTATTTTGTATAACATACTTTGATTTTAATACCATATTTTGTTCTTGTGTACTATTCTCAACTGCTTTATTATTCAGATAAGAATTAAATGACCTATTTTGCTCTTCTTTCTTCTCTGAGAAATACTATCTAATCAATATGACTGAAGTGAGGTTTAAAAAATGAGATTCTAATTAAATCTGCTGTTGTCCCAGTCTTTCATTTAAAGCCCAGTTTACTCCTAAAAATATTTTGGTATATGTATAACAGGTGACCACACTCTGTTTCCTTACCTTCCAACCTCAGCAGTCCAGTTTGCTTAACATGTGCCTTTAGCCTCAGCTCTTACCAAGACTTATTTTGTACATACTGTACTAGCCATTGTGCTAAACCGTTTACATGGATAATTCTCTCAAAAACTTTAGAGACAAAGCCTAAATATTTTTGTCCTATATAAAACTCTTCAATGTGTAATAGTTATGCATATTCTGCTATTTTAAAAACAGTTGTTAACTCTACTTTTAAGTTTTCATTTATTTATTGAGTATGTAATATATACAGAGATTGTGCTACATGTTTGGGGGTGAGTAATACCAAAGAAATAAAAAGCAAGGCCACATCTTTCAGGGAGCTTTTTTATAATTTACTTGGAAATGTAAAACATAGATGCAGGAACTATGAGGACTGTTCAAAGAAAACATCAATATGTGGTATTCTCACCAAAAAATTTTTTTTTTTTTTTTTTTAGATGAGGCAACCCTTGGTTGACCTCACAGATTGCAAGGATCTTGTCAGTTTACAATCCCTTTTTTTTTTTTAATTTTATTTTTTATGCCTACAGCACACCTGTCTTCCTAGATGGTCTCCCATCCAAGTACTAACCAGGTCCAGCCCTGCTTATCTTCCAAGATCAGGTGAGATAGGGCTTGTTCAGGGTAGCATGGCCATAGACTCACCAAAATATTTAACCTGAACCTCATCTTGAGAAACAGGCAAATCCATGTTGTAGAATATTTTCTAGATCAACTGTTCTGAGTTCTTCTAAAATGTCAATATCATGATAACCAAAAAAGTCAGGGTTGAAGGTGAAGTCAAGACAATCTTCTCTAGACTAGAGAAGGCAAAAGAGACATGATAACCAAATGTAAGGTGTGGTCTGTGACTGGATCCTCGATCACAGATGTCTGCTACTTGCTTTCAAATAATTCAGGAAAAATTAAGAATATGTGTGTGTGTGTGTATATGTGTATACACATGTGGAGGCAGGGAAGAGATACACAAAAATGGCAAAATGTCGAAGGTGAATCTTGGTGAAGAGTATACAGATGTTGACTGTACAGTTCTTTCAACTTTTCTATAGATTAGAAATTTTCAAAATTAAGAAGTTGGGATAAAATAAGAGGAAAAGTTAGAACAAGGAGATGAAAAGGTAAACATTTGAGGATATAAGGCATGAGAAGACTGAGTAATAAGAAAAAGGTTGATTCAGTCATGAGAATAGTATTTTTGAGATGGACTTTACTCAGTTAATAGATAGGAATTGACAGAAAACAGGTCCTCAATCAGCTCTTCTAGCTGGAAAATGAAGTTTTTTCTAATATCATGAAAATATCTTTACATTAGAATACATCTTGTCTTTAAAGTAACTATTTCAAATAGGTGTAAGTGGCAGCATCTTTTATGATGTTTCTTAATTCTTTTCTGCTCTCATATGTTTAAGTCTGTGATCGTAATTAACCCCATTCTGTTAAGACATTGGAAATACCCAGAATTTGCATTCTCTGGGGGACAACATAGTAATTGCGTTTCCTTTTAATTTACTGTTTAGCTGACTTCTGGTCATTTGCTTTAGAGCCCATGGTCTGATATTAGTTGCAGATACTGCTTTTTCAGCACAGCACTTTAGATAGGTAGAGTACATCTCTACCTCTCTGTATGCTAATCACCAATTGAAATGCAGATTCTAATTCAGAAAGACTAAGATGGAGCCTGATATTCTGAATTTCTAAAAGCTTCTATGAGTTCTAAAACTCTTCAGAAGGTAATCTGAAACCAGCTCTTATATGTAGGGGGCAGGGAGAGATGAAGAAGGCAGACCACTCCAGCTTGGTAGGTGGCATGTGTAATATCAAGGGAACTTATGAGGCTTGTCTTGGGCAATCATAAGACTAGTAATTTTCCACACCCACCCACCAAATCTTAAAAATCGATATAGAGTTCTTAACTGGGGTCAGTCACATATACAGGGGGCCTTAAGTAGGTGTAGTCATTCACACAATCCAGATAATCTCATCATTACATTATTGTCTCAAGGCTGTGTACTTGAGCAGCTTCTAGCACAGAGAAGGCAAATGGAGCACACTTTCCAAGCACAGGAGAGGGAATAGGAGCTTCCAATTGCCCCCATCCATCTGTGGGTCAAAACCAGAAGCCACATCTTCTTGATGACCTTCCCTGACAGCTTCCACTTGATGTCAAAACTAAAGCTTCTGGGCCTTGAACCACATTTTGAATAACAAACAACCAGAACATGATTTTCAGTGGGGTTACAGGAAGATGCATATTATAATTTTCTTGGATGAAAAGGACTTACCTTTAAATTGATATTCCTACCTCCTCTGCAGAATCCAAATTCCTTTTCTAGGCCAACCGGCCCTTTTTAATAAAGCCCTCGTCTATTGCTCTGACCTTTTAGCCAGTCCTCGCCACACTTGGCCTTTCGGTTCATTGAATGCACCAAGCCTTTCCCACTTCAAGACCTCTGCACTTACCATTTCTTCTTAATGTGCATTTCTCCTGGCTTCTCACAATTTGCTTTATGCTATCTATTTAAATTTTCAGCTTAAAATACATTCTCTTAGAAAAACCTTGTTTGGTCATTCTATATATTAAATACCTCTTCCAAGTTATTGTGTTCCTGCACTCTTTTTGTATCTTTCCTATTACTGTTTGTTTCTCGTCTATCTTTTCCTCTAGTATAAGCTCTTTAAGGGCAGGAACCTTATCTGTCTTGTTCAGTCCTGTTTCCCCTGTGTTTAAGAACAGTGCCTGAGACATAGTAGATACCCCATAAATTTTTTGTTAAATGAATGAATGAACAAACCAGCCAACTTAGATTCTGAAAGTAGTACTTGGCTGAGCATAATATCATGATAATTACTGGCAGAGTGAGCCTCTCTGATGATGGTAGTGATATGATCTACCTTTAACCTCAGGTGATCTGGAACACTCTCACCCCCTTTCTACAAAAAAAAGGGTTGAACAACACAGTTCTGAACTTTAGTGAAGATGTTATATTCTATTACTGTTGAACCTTTTATTTTTATCTATTACTCAGTTTTCCTCTTTGTGTAGAAAACTTCCTCTCTAGTTTAGTCTCATAAAACTACCCATGCTGTACAATGAATGTTTATTTTAAGTATATGCGTGAGTAGGAGTTTGGTATATAGTAATTACCCAACTTAATAATAGTATTTATTCAATAGGTAGTAATTACAAAGTTGGGATTTGGCCAAGATGTTCAGAATGGCATTCCTACTTTTAGATAGTGTAACAAGTTCTTTTGTGATTATAGATAATCATACTATTGAGATTAATCTTTTTAAGAATGTAGGTCTAGATACACTGTTAGCGAGATGGTGCTTTCTTAGCTTTTTCCTATAGTACTGGTTCAGGTCTGATTCAACTAGCAAATAAATCACAATACCACCCCCTACATTGCTTGTGTTTTCCCTATAGGTATTTTCTGATTACTTGCTAGCCTGACTCTGCTTCAGTTATAAAATCTTATAAAATTCACAGTTTAGGATCTGCTCCAGGCCAGCCATATAAACATCTCTTTTCATCTACTATATTTAACTACTGCTTCTGAAACATTCTCGATAACCTATTTCAAATCAGAATATGGAAATTCTCTTTCTTCTTACCAAGCTAGAGTTTTCAGTGTCTTCAGTTTCCTTAAATTCATTTAATGCTGTTAGTTATCACTTTATCTTTCTTTAGTGCCAAGTATAGTCAGTAAGAATTCATAAAATGAACCGAGTAGCTTGCTCACCTAATCTCCATTTCCTCTTACTCCTCTGTATTCCAGAGCTTTATCTTGAGATCTTGGGTAGAATGCTTCACTGTAGAGGAAAACCAGAAGAAAAAAACTGAAAGACAATGCAAGTAGTGCAGGAGAGGTAAAAAGGCAGAAAGTGATGGATGGAGCAGGAACCGCAACTAGACTGATTAAAGGGAAAAAAACAAAAATGAAGAGAGTAGAGACAGAAAATTTGGAGTGCTAAGAGGATAAATATTAAATAATACTTTAAAAACCTTTGACAGATATACTTCTTGAAATAGAATTATTTAGATCATCATGTCCTTGGAAATCACTTTTGAAGAAGAGATTAGGATGGTATAGAATTTCAGTAGTATGTAAATGACACTTCAAAATGCTCAGACTATTTTCCAGATCTGTGCCACAGGCCCCTTTAACCTTATCGACCTCATTTGTTTGCTAAGTGCTTTTTTCTTTCCTATAAAGGGAAGGTAAATCTCAGCTCAGCATCTTTTGATTTATTGCAAATTGTAAATCAGCCACAGCTTTATTAATGAGACTTTAACATATTGCCTGAGTTAAGTGTTGATGAGATAGAAAAAAAATACATATGCATCAAGTATGTAGCCTTCAGTATTCTTTTAGTTGGGAATTAGAGAAAGATTCTGTGTTTTAGAGATTTTAACAATAAGAGTGTAGAGAATTTAAAAGAAACAATAACCAACCAGAATTTACCTCAGAATGAATTTAGGAAATAAAATTCAAAGTCCTACATAGGCGTTTAGACCACGTCTCTTAGTTTTGACCTGCGTCTTCAGCAACCCCCGAGTCTACCCAACATAATAAAAAGGGCAAGAATAAGTAAGTGGTCATTGTTGAAAATGGTTGCCCAATACAAGAGTAGTGAACCTAGTGGTTTGGAAGTTGAGATGAGAATGCATGTAATGAGGAAAATAAACAATTCAGAGAGAGAGATGAACAGAACTTTGAGATCTTGGAGGTAGAGGAGTTTTAGTGACTGGGTTTGAGGGGATTTCTTACCACTGGATAAAACCTGAAATTCTCAGTGTCAAGGTTTTTTATTAGAATCATGATATGAATGATGTCTGCTCTCCTTGCAAATCCTTCTTTTATTATTATTATTATTATTCGTATAAATTGGACAATAATATGTTAAGGAAATTAACTAATGGTGTAGAAGGATGATTGGACCAAAATCTAAGGTATGTGGTTCTTGGGCTTCAGTTTCTTTATAAAATAAAGAGTGTAGGATATTGTAGATCCCTTCCACCTCTAAAATACTGATTTTGTAAACAAGAGGGCTTGAGATTGTAACAACAGTGGAAGAGTCATACCTTGTTCTCTGCCTTTATCAGACTTCTCTGAGTCCAACTAAAGACCTACCCTTTTTCTTATGCCATTAGTTTTCAAACTGTGTTTCTTGGAATACTTTGGTTCTAATGTATTTCAGGCATCACTGTGGGGATAGAAAGAGGAGACTGAGTAAGCAGCGTTTATGTCCCCCTTTCTGTTTTATATATTGTGATAGCTTATAGTCTTTAAAATTTTTCTCTAGTTCAGTATACTTTTTTCCATATCATAAAAACAGTAAATATGAGAGTATATCCTTGCTAAAGAGACCTCAGGCCTCCTTTGCAAGAAGTACAAAAACAAGCCTCACAGTAATAGAACCAAGAGTTAGCTCCTGGGCCCACATATGCTGAAGCCTTTCTCCTCAGTGTAACCCATGGACCTGGCCATCGTGTGGAGACTTGATAGCAGTGTAGAATCTCAGGCCCCATTCCAGACGGATTGAATCAGAACCTGCATTTTAACAAGAGTCCCAGATGATTCATTTGTACATTGAAGTTTGAGCAGCCCTGAAATCATCCAGATGTTATCCAGCTTCCTGGTCTCTTTATCTCACAGTGAAGGACACACATTGGATGACATGTGTTCCTAGGAGGGTTTAGTTTAATCTTGACCTTCCCTGGGAATGGTGGAAGAAAGAAGAATACTTGAAACTTATACCTAACTCTTATTTCTGCCTGAGTCTTTCACCATGTTGTACTCTTAAGTTTCTGCTATGATCTTCTCTAACATATGGCTTATATAACACTATTTTCTCAGACTTCAATCTAGCTTCTCCTTTTATTTCTCTTATACTATCATATTCATATTAAATCTCAGTTCTGGAAAATAGAGCTGAGTTGCTAAATATGGCTTAAGTACCCTTGAACCATGACTTCTCATTCCTATTCTCTGCCTTCTATTTCCCCTTCATTTTGGCTGAAATACTAGACTTATTTTTATAGAACCAAAGGTTTGTATAAAATAATTTACCACTTAGTGACAGTTTTAAGGACTTTCCGTGTTCAACATAGAAGAATTTCTAAAGATTCAGTTTGGGGGTTATCTGATTTTTTATTTTCTGTTTCTTTTTCATTTGCCATTTGATATTTTCATTCTATTTGATGCCTTACTTGAAGAACAAATAGGAAAGAACATGAGAACCTCAAATTACATATTTATTTGGCTCTCTGTTTCGGTGGGGGACAATTAAAAATATCTGCTAAAATATAATTGTGTACTTTCTAATGCAACATAATTTTGTTATCTATAGCCAAGTTTTAGTTTTTAAGGTGTGTAAGATAATAAGATTCATTTGATTTCCCTTCTAAAAACTCCATTATTTCTCTATAATATGAGTTATTAATGCTTCCCCTAAAAAAATTCTACTGATAGAATCTTTGATATTCCCCTAGTTCACATGCTCTGACATATGCCTCCTTTTTCATTGTTTCCTTACTCTGCCCTACCAATAGGCTTTATCTGAGGCAGCCATCATTATTATTGCTATTAATTTATTGACTAATCTAGTTAAAAGTTCTCCGGTATATCTCCATGTAACTAACTCTATTCTAAAATGTAAATGAGAGATTGATAAATTGTCAAAAGTATTCAACTTTTGTTCTGTGCTTTAGATGCTGAGGTCATAGCTTGCAGATGCTTTCAGTTTAGTATAGGGTGGTAGGCCCCCACCCCTCCCTACCTTCTTTCTACTTCACCCCCACACTTTATCGTGACTCCAGAAGAGATTCTTAACCACTTACTGTTCATCATGTAGACATTTGCCTATCAAAAATATACATTTCCCTGAGAAATTGTGTATCACTGCTTTGCAACTGGTAATACTTAGGTTTATCAAGTTCTATATTAACCAATTCTTAAAATTTTTAAAATATATTTACACTTAAACAATTTTTATATTAACTAATCTTTGTATGTTTTTAATTCTAGTAAATTAAAGTAGTAATACTTAGATATTTTTTAAAATTTTATTTTACCTATATCACATCTCTAATTTCATGAATCTTTTTTATTGACAAGCTTATGATATCTGTTCTTAACTTTTTAAAGTCTTCTGATCATGTTTTCTTTAATTGTTTTGGTTTAATGATTATTAACTTTTGTTTTATTTGTTGAGTCATTAATAAAAATGAATTATTGTGAAAACATGTCTCTGAGAAGAAAACAGATTTGCTTAGAGCATTCCTATACTGAAATGCTGCCTGCTTCAGCATGTGTGTTGGTACTCACCCTCCCCTCACCTCACATGAATGTATGCACTATACAGCATTTTAAGTGATCGTGTTGTTAGCGATTTTGTTTTTAGGGTACTCTTTCACTCTTTTCTGAGTGTGGTGATAGTAGCTCTATGAATTAGTAGTTATAGAACACACTATACTTTCTTTAGTTAGAAACCTGTGTTTTAAGCTCTATAATTGTCAAACTGGTGTGGTGTGATTGGTTTTAAATGTCTAAATGGAAAGTATTTTGTGATCATTAAGTTTCATTTTCTTTAAATTGTACTTAAGTAATGAGTATGTTTTCCTTTTTTAGGTGCGTTTTGTAAAGAATATAACTTCCTGGAAAGAGATGAAACCAGGGTTTTATCATGGACATGTTTCTTATTTGGATTTTGCAAAGTAAGTTATACCTAAAGTGACATGTTAAAGAATGCTTTGTACTTTAGCAAGCTAAAAAGGAATAAATTCGTTAAATTTTTATGATTTTGATTTTTTTAAAAGTACTGGCTTGTCTTTGCCACTTTTAGATGTAATTTAAATATACCTTCTAGTGTTTTACTGCCCTCTAGTGTTCATAAATTGATAATCGTCATATCCATTTTAGAAATTCAAGGTCGATTAAATTTTGGTAATATTCTTTAAAGTTATTTATCATTATTATGTTTCTGTTTCTCGTACAAGAAAATGACACTATTTTAGGAGAGCCCCAAGTTTTAACCTGGAGGCCGGATTGTGACTTACCATGTCATTGCCTGAGAACTGAGAAAGCAAAGAAGCCATCACTCAGTATTGGTGCCCCAGTACATCTGCTGCTCAGCGAAGACGCTGTAAAGAATACACATTCCCTTAGGCGACCTTGTTTTGGCTTTGCAATTGTGATATATTCAAAGGAGACTTTTTAAAATACAGTGATTATCCTTCATTTTCCTTTATAGTGATTTGCCTGAAACTGGAAATAAATAACACTCATTTTCCGTATTTTGGAGGGGAGGAGTAGGTCAGAGTGTTTCTATCATAATTCTCAAGAAAAGTTCGTAAAACTACAGGCCTGCTTACAGTATCCAAGCTCTATGTGGCTCCCCCTAGAGTCTGTGCTATGTTGCGTACTAATCAGAAAACTGTTCAAAAGGATTATTCTCAACATAGGCAGCTTGTGAGTCCATTTGACTGGTTTTTTGTAGCACGTAGAGTACTATTATATAACCTCAAATCCAGATTTTTTTCCCTAATAAGATTTTGCACTAACTTTAAAAACACTAAAAGTATATTTTAAAAATTATTTAAGCTTAGACATGTTTGCTCAGTCTTTTCATTAGCAATCATGACTTCAAAGTAATGCATCCTCAAGTATTTGTCATCTTTAAAGAGCAGTCTGTGTAAATAAAATTTGATAAATTAATTTGATATCTCACTGCCATTTTAATTTTTTAAGTTTGTCAAGAAAAAGTTGAATGAAATATTTCTGATTCAGAATAACAAATCTTAACTTTTTTGAAAAGCATGTAATTAAAATGATTCTCCCAAATATTACATGCATAAAACAATATATTCTTATTTCGAGTTTACCGCTAGTATTCAAGACGTTTCAACAAAATGATAGCTTTAAAGTTAGATGTACATTTTCCTATAAATAATTCATACCACAATATTGAAAACATTTTATAGGCAGCTTTAAAATAAACTAATTATTTTTTCTTTGCAGAGGCATTGAACCAATTTCATAAACTTCATTCATATGCATATTTTCCCTCAGGGCTGCATTATCCTTCAATTGAATGTTTGTTACCCTTTCACCTAAATGATTTATTTTTTCCACACACAGCTTGGTTTCTAATACTTGAGGTTTTCATTATTAAAATAATATATTGAGTACTTTTGCTTTTGGCAAAAGTCATACTTAGAATGAAGCTCTGGTATATGCTGGGGTTCTTGCAATTGAAAGAGTATAATGCTTCTTGAAAAGATTAATCTCATTTATTAAATACTAACATGAACATTTAAGGGTTTGAATAGTTTCATAATGGGTCTCATTATTGGAAGTGAGAAGTATTATGAGAATTTTTAATAGAATTTTGCCACGATTTTAAACAAATACCTAAAAAAGTCAACTAGAGAAAATATATGTAGTTAAGAACTATTGTAAATATAACTAGAATCTTTTAAAATAATTTTTAGTTTGATATCCCTACTCAGCATGGATAAGTAAAGAAGACAGAAATATCACCTTACCAATTTTTAAAATACTTTATACCTCAAAATATATTCTTTTATATATATATATTCTTGATTGACCTCACAAATTGCAAGGACCTTGTCAGCTTACAGCACCTGGTCTTCCTAGGTGGTCTCCCATCCAAGTACTAACCAGGCCCGACCCTGCTTAGCTTCCAAGATCAAAATATATTTTTGATTGGCATAGTACTTTGTGGAGTCCATTAAAATACTTGCCATCAGGAGAAAACGATCAAATTTAGTAAAAGAACTATTTAATCACATAGCTTTTCAATTGCCTTAGCAGAAACATTAAGAATAGTGCAAACCCAGTAAACCCCAGGAAACCCAGGAAGTAAGAAATAAAACATGAAAAGTGCTTTCCGGTTTGGACTGATTCCTAAGAAGCACACATTTTATTTGCAGGCCTATGTTGTCAGCTCAAGCCATGTTTTGGTTATATTTATCTGGTTTTATTCATAACTTTAGAATAATAACAAAAATATCTTCTCGTTACATATTTTCTCCTGACTTACTTTTTTTTGTCTTAATCCTATTCTTGATTTTTTAACACATTTTTCAGTGCTTTTCCATTTTTCCTTTTCATGTTCAATTATTATTTCTTTTTAAATGGTGGACAAAACAATTATAAAATAATGTAGATGTGATAAATTAATGTCATAAATTTAGAAATTTTTCAATTAAAAAAATTGTATAGATTGGACATTGTCAAAAGTCCTATCATGCAGACAATATAAAGGTGAATAAGTTGCAGTTCTTGTCCTCACTGAAATCCCATTTTTCTATAATTATCAGTTTATTATGTTTCATTATAAAGAGTGAAAATATTACTGATTACCCTTCCTTTCAAAGTCATACTATTCATTGATCAGCAGCATTTATTACCCTCACTTTGATTTTCTTCGAATTCTACAAAAGAAAAACATTAGAACATGTCTTTCAAAAACCTTTTCTATAACATTATTTTTTTCTTAATGAATAATGTTCAGCTAAAAGAAAACTGTTTTAATGGTGGTTTTGATCAGACTCTGCTGAGGTTTTTTTTTATGATCTAATAACCTAAGGGTCACATGTCAGCATCTATCTTAGAAAGATACTTGGAATTTATTTTTTATACAGCAGTCAGTTTATTCAAGGACACATCAGGTGTGTATACCTTTTTTGTTGACCCCAGGAACGAGTATGAATTTTCACTTTGCTTTCTCCATAACATTCCGCTGCTTGCTGCTATCTTTCAGAATAATTAAGGTGTATCAGTAAAGAAACAGATATGTCAGGACAAGAAACAAATAACTAAATGCTTTACTAGGTTCGAATGTCCTATAGAGTAATCAAGTGACAATATTTTAGGCTTAAATAGATGTTGTATACTG